ACAATACCTTTTAATTTATTTCATCCACAACATTTCTTATATATTTGGTGGCACCATTTACATCGTTTAATATTTTCAATTCTTTTTGTAATATCACCATATGTTTCTCCAATTTAGTATTCTTCTACGTCAAATATTTTTGTTTAATTGTAATTGATAAAATGTCGTTCCTCTTTCAATTCATATATCTCCTTTGCATGTTTTTAAAAGAAATGTATATAATTTTATCTTATTATTGAAAATCATTATAACTAAGTCAAATGAAAGAGTCAATATATACACACACTTTTCTATTACTATAATTGGGTTTAATACATCGTTCATTGGTCATATAGCTCATTACAAGCCTTCCACAAAACATAAGGTACTTTACCAATATATAAATCAAAGCATTCACAATTAAAACCAAGCACAATACATTATTTTCAATTCCACTAACAAAACATAAATACACAAACATCAATCTCATACCAATTTCATTCACACATAGTGCTCACATTTGTCTTACTATGTTTATCAACATTTTCAAATCAAATGAACTACTTTAAACATCAATTATAACATTCATCTATCATAAATGAAAAAAAAAATTGAGTTTTTTTTTACCAGGTTACACAAAAATTTGTTCTCTAACCATGACATAAAAAACTATTCCTCTTACCATGAACGAAATACAATTGCATACACAATCACCGTCACCCCTATTGCTCATCGCCACTGAGACTAGGGTTCTTCTCTATTCTCAATCCAAGAATCGGAAATCGACATCGGCAACGAAACTACATCTCTCTTAGCATTTTTGGAAAACACTAATAGGCTCCTTCTCAGTCACGGTTGCCCACTCTGTTTTAGTTTCTCAACTCCGCTACCTCTTTCAATCAAGTAAATGCTGAGCTAAAACCCAAATTAGTATTACCACGAGAAAACCACCATAAGTAATGGTGGAAAGGAAAGACTAACACTGACACCATCTTCTAAGTTCATATCTTCTTCTTTCACAACTATCAACGACGACGACTCTTAATACGATGTTGGACTTATATCTCAATTCAATTATTCGTTTTCACTAAAATTTCTCTTTATTTATTTTGACTATGAATTTCTCATATATTTCACTTTTTTTCTCATAAAGACCAATGTCCACCTTAAAATATTTAATATTTTTTTTTATCTCATAACACTCAATAAAAAACAAATCATATCACGAACACAGTTGCATTATAATGAGTGTACACTGTTTATTTTCATATATATATATATATATATATATATATATATATATATATATATATATATATATATATAATAGTATATATAGTTAGTCTCCACATATTTTTTTTTCGTATCAATCACAATTTTTGTTATGTTTACATATTAATAAAAATAGTATTTATCAACTATTAACTTTAATCTTCAATTATTTATTTTTATTTTATTCATTATTGTGAGACTTAACATTCTTGAACTCATTTGGTGTCATAAATTTTTTTAAGAATATGATCATATTAATCACATTTGGAATACCAGTAAACACTATTTTTTTCCCCCTAGAAGTTTGTCACTCCAGTTATAAACATGACAACTGAGGTGGTGACATTTCTATAAATTTCAAGTTCAATAAAGGAGATTCGTGACATTTATAAGTGAGGTGTTCACGTTTATGTCAACGACAGAAAAGGTATATATATTTAAGTTCACTGTACTTATAGTATTCAAAATCATTAATGCACTCTTATTTAAAGAAGGTTTGTTAGGTAAATTGAGGTTAAGATAGACATATTCACTCTAGTTTAAGGTTATCTAAAGACAATTGTTAAGATTTTTTGTTTAAGTTCCTATAAAGATTTATCATCATACATTTTTAGGTAATAATGGATTACTCAACCAATATTTATAAGAGTGGTGATATTTTCACAACTAGAAACCATACAACTTTTCAAACAACTTATTTTTATTAATATAATAATCTATCGAATGATTTAATAAAAATAAAAATAAATTAAAATTATTATTATAATATTAAAATAAAATTGTTTATAAGAGTTATATGGATTTTGGTTGTCAAAGTATCATTTTTCTATTTATAAACACGTCTATATTCTACAAAATATAAAAAAAATAATATACATCACATAAATATTATTTAGGATAATAATGATTTATGATTATATAATAATTTATACAAATTTATAATGTATGAAAATTACACACAACTGCAAATTAAGTTGGACCGCCTAAAACTATTAAAAATTTATTTTTGTTTTAGCCTATGGTCCTCTCATAGCCCAATAATGTTAGGCTTTCTATCTTATTCATATATCAAACAAAATTACTAATAGAAACATTGTATATATAGTATATTTTTTTTTCTTAAATAAAATTTTGAGGCATGTCTGTTTAAAAAATGTATACATAATTTGTTTATGGAGATGTTCCTGGAGAATTTCTCCTTATTTAAAATTTATTTCATGCCATAGTATAAATAATTTTTTATGCTTATTTAAATTATGTTTTTTCGTCACATCCTTTCTAAAAAAAGAAACATAAAAAACGTGCCTGATATATTATTATCTTTTTTACCAAAATAATATCATCCATGGATCTAAAGATATGTGAAAATTTGTCAAGAACATATCAACATTTTAAGCATATCTAACATTAATAATAAAAAATGATGATAAAGAATCACTCTCTACTTTTAAATCATACAAAATATTTTAAAACTTACATATTTATTTTGATAAAATAGAAATTAGATTGAGAAAATTATTAATTAATTTTTAATTATTTAAATAGAATATATTATTAATGGTCAATTATTATAATTCTCAATTAATAATATAATAAATGCTAAGATTAATCTTAAGTTGATTATTTAGATTTAGCGAAAAAAATACTCTTAACTTTTATGTTATTTAATAAATTTATTAAAAATAATTATTCAATAGACATAAAATATAATTAATATATATATATATATATATATATATATATATTAAAATGACCTTAATTTGCACTTGATTTAATAAAATTTATATATTTGATCAATAACATGTTAGTTTTTAAAAGGAAGAAAATATATTATTAGTATTTTTAATATGACATGTACGTAGATTGGTTTGTGTTGATGATGTAATTCGACAACTATTCAGAAAAAATAATTCATTTTCAATAATTTTCTATTTTTTTATGTCAAGTATTTGAATTATATTATTAAGTATATGGTTGATAATTGAATGAGTCATGAATCAATACTATAGGATTTTTTAGCACAAAAAAATGAGAATTAAGAAAATGTTTGTGAAATGCGGATTTTATTTGGAAAGTGAGCAAAAGAAATATTATCTAATTATTTCCCATTGAATTAACTATTTGTGTCAGTAGTTACGAGGATATTGATTTTTTTTCAATATTTCAATAATTAAACTAGTACTAATTTTTATTAGTAATAATCTAATAAATTAATGTATATTTAAAATAAAATTATTTGATATTTAATATAATTTTTTTATTATTTATTCAAAACAAAGAGAAATGTAGCTAAGAAATCATCAACTTTTCCTTTTGTATTCACCTTTATGATTGGAGAAAGAGTATTGTCTAAGTTTAATAAATATTTTTTTCTCAAAATTTTGAATGTACAATAAACTTTTGATTTAACTCATATGAAATACTTTTAAAATGAATTTTTCATTAAAATAAGTACAACTTCTATCAAGAAAGTACCTTTTATACCCATTAACGATAAATTAAATTTTAATTAATATTTTAAAAAGCTCAAACATTCATTAATTTTGCAGAGCAAGTCTTTTTCGAAAGTTATGAAAAAAAAATAACACACATTTATTTAGGTGGTAAAAGTGTTATTATGTTTTTTAATATATAAATTGTCATTATTGTTTGATTCCACATCAATAGCCACATTATTGTTTGGGTGCTAAACTTAAGTTTTATAAAATTCCGAAACAAAAAGAAGACAACAGAGGTTATAAGTCATATATGAATATGTGTGTATTGCGTGGCACAGCGAATAAAGTACGTAACCAAATTCTTCTTTTTGCATCTATTTATGTATTTTTGATTTATTTATTTATTTATTATTATTTTTAGATTTTTGTTTTCTTTTTTACCAGTCAAATATTTCTTTTTATGAAACCCATTCTCTCTCTTTCTCAGCCACTGTCTCTTGACGCAGTTCGTTAGCCGCTATGAGCAAAAACCCTCTCACTTTGCCTTCTTCCACTCTCACTCTCTATCCATCCTTCACCACCATGTTTTCTTAGGCCTCGCAGGTACTCTCTCTCTCTCTCTTTCCTTCTTCTACTTTCTCTTCTCTTTTTTCTGTTTCGTTTCTTCTTTTTTGTTTTGTTGTTATCATTTTTTTTCCCATATTTTGGATTTTGGATTTTGGAAAACTGGCACTGCTTTCCGGTGGAGCGTGTCTTGATTGGGTGACGAGGATGTTTGATCTGGGGCAGGAAATGGGAGAGAAAAAAAATATGACGTGGGTTTAAGGAATGGATATGGTTAAGATCTTTGCGGGAAATTTCCTGTTATGATTTTTGGGTTTTTCGAAGATGTCGAACCGACAAGTGCCAATGTGTCTGAAATTTTATTGTTGCCTGAAAAATCAAAATCTGTTTCTGCAGACTTTTGGAGTTTAGTAGGGGAAACGGTGGCGGTGGATTGAGCCCCAAATAGAGGAAAAAGAGGGTTAAGAGAGGGGTTAATAATTCATATGAAGAAATATTAATATTAATATATTAAAATTAATATATATATATATATATATATATATATATATATATATATATATATTGATATACAATTTTTTTATGGTTAATGTCAGAAGGTGATATTAATGTAGTAATGAAAATTTTGAATTCTACACTGTGGCTTCAGTGTGTGTGTTATGGAGGTAATGAGATTTTGGTATTTGTTTGTGTAGGTTCTTTGTAGACAACCCGGAACATTTTGTTCAGTTGATTTAGCTCTCTAAAATGAAACCACATGCCAATGGGGTGTCTAGAGCTCATAAGGCAAATGGTACTCAAGTTGAAGGGCCTAACTGGCTTATTTTTGCTGCTGGTGCTTTGTTGAGTACCTTATCCATTCGCCTTGGTTACAAGTTGAAGCAGGCACTCGACTCCAAGCCGAAGCAGAATGAAACTACCATTAAGAAAGGTCCTTATGTACTGTGGGGGAACACCAATTTTGTTGTCTTGTATTTCTCTTCCCTTTTTATGAAAATATGAAATTATATTTAATAGTCAAAATGGATACTTATTTTGGTCTAAGTGGATTCTAACTTCATATCTTTTGATGCTTCAGAAAATGGAAAATCCTCCAGCACAAAGAACTCGGCAGACTATTTTTTGCAGACTAATGGATATTCCCAAACGCAAGATAATCACGGATGCTTCAGTTGCATTTCAGGTTTACTATGTATTTCAAATACGTTTTTTATTTGCTCAGTTTTGATGACTGGTTGTTTTGCTGTCTACTACTTTTCTTCTTATTTAGAAAGTTCTATTTTTCTGACGAGATTTTGTTTCTGAATTTGGAATCTTGTTGGATGTTTATTATTGATATTTGCGTTTAGGATGTCGAGGTTATTATTATCTGCTAAGTTTTGTTAATTGTGTTCTTTATGTTAGTCTATTTTTTCTACGTCATTGTTAGAAAGTTAGCGGAACATTTCCACTCATCTGTATACCTGTGCCTTATAATGATTATTACTCATTAATTAATTTTTTACCAGATTTATTTCTTTAGTTTTGTTCTCATGTTATTTATTTATTGTATCTGCTCCCAGTTCTATATCACTAGCATTACTATTGAATATCATCAATACATCTGCTAATAAAATACAGAATTTCCACATGTTGGATATGTATGAAGTGATGTGCAGATGCAACGTATTTATCTGTCTGCACTCATAAGATGGGGTGGGAATGGACACAACGATGTTCTAATTAAGTGGGTGAGCTAAACATTCTGAACGAAATTTTAGCTTAGTGATGTATGGCACCTGAAACTTGACTTTGTCTGCTTGCAGTTCTGGAGATAAAACTTTTTTTATTTGGTATCATCCGATTTACTTCTCTTTACCGGGCAAGAGATGCAAACTACACAAATAATTCAGATATATGAAGTAAACCTGAATTTACTTACTGTTAAACGTGTACAAGTTGATGTGCTTACATTTGGTGTTGATTGCTGTGTCAGAACATGGTGTAAACTTTGTACATGTGTCATTTGCAAATAATTGGTGATTTTAGTTTGTGAATTTGATTCGGCATTCTCCGTGATATTATTCACCTAATTCCTTTCATTTACGGTTTATTATTTTTAGGGATGCTACCAAGCCCTTTTATATTTAAGCTTCTTGTTATGTATCGTTTTGTGTCTTACATTGATTTTGAGTATCAATGGGACATTGTTTTGTACAGGAACTGGTGGTACCATGGAACTAAAGTGCCCACCGAATGGCCAGATGCTGAATGAGTTTGGTGGAGCTCTCCCATTGGTGACTGTTCCTGCTGCTGCTGCTGCTGAATTTAGCAAGGAAAATGGTGTTGTGTGGGCATGCTCTCCTGAGCATCATCTTGAATTGCCCTCAAAGCCGTTCCACCACTCAAATTGCTCAGATTCACCATGTGTATCAGAATCTGGTTCTGATATTTTTAGTAAGCGAGAAGTGATTCAGAAACTGCGGCAACAGTTAAAGAGAAGAGATGAGATGATACTTGAAATGCAAGATCAAATGGCTGAATTGCAAAATTCACTCAACGCCCAGATGCAGCTTTCTTCACATTTACAATTGCAACTTGATGCTACAAACAGGGACTTATTTGATTCCGAGAGAGAGATCCAAAGGCTAAGGAAAGCAATTGCAGATCACTGTGTTGGATATGTGCCCCATGACAAATCTTCCAAAGTTACAACTTTGCCTGCTGAGATTAGAAATGGCCTTTCAAACGGACATCTTGATGGGGAAAGTAATTATGAGTCCCCTGAAAAACTAAGGGATGAGGAGGAGAGAATTGAGTTGCTGAAAAGGCAAGTAGGAGAGTTGAAAGAGGTAATAGAAGGAAAAGAATACTTGCTCCAGAGCTACAAGGAGCAAAAGACAGAACTCTCTCTGAAAATCAGGGAATTGCAGCATAGATTGGATTCTCAGCTGCCTAATATTTTGTAGAAGCTGTCAAGTTTGTGAATACTTTGGTTATTTTTCATTTCACAAATCTTCACTGTCTTCTTCCTCATTCTTTATTTTCTCTGTAATTAGCTCAATATATTTCTAGTTTGTGCAATGTGTGCTACTGAGTAATGAACGAGAGGTCGACGCATTAAAAATGGCAAGAGATGAATGCATAAATATAAAATATTACTAGTTATTTATATTTTGAGTAAAAATATATAGTTTCCATTATACATGACAAAACGACAATTTTCCTAGGTTGTCTTAGGACAAGATGATCATGTGGGGTTTGTGTTGGTTGGTTGACAAAAACGGCCCATTGGTTGGAGATAGGGGGGTCGTGGTACCAAGAAAATATTTTTGACTTTAGTTTCACAGCCAATAGAATAAAAGAAAATTGTGAAGGAAGAGATTAAGATATTTTATCCTTAGTTGTTTAGGAAGAAGGCCATTTCCTTCTTTCCACCAAGAAAAAATAGAATCAAATTTAGGTCCTCTAAATTCAGGTTAGCTGTTACAAGATTATTGGTTCAAATTTGTGACTTCAATTTTTTATAACTATAGGAAAAAATTCATGTGACCCTCTATTATTAGGACTTTTGGGTGTTAATTCAGACAATATGTTAAACATTGGTTCAGAGTTGTGGGAACTTAGTTAAGTGACAATTGTTCATGGAGCTGGAGCAATGTTGTTGGAGAAGAATTAAGATGGAAATTAAAAATAAAAAACATGCAAATTAAGACAATGCTATTTTATCAAATGTTATTTTTATAAGTAATATTTTAATTTTATTTTCTCATTTTCCCTCTAAATATTTGTATTATTTATGTTACAAATTAAAAAACAAAACTAAATTAAAATTATACTTTGAATGATTATTAATAGAAGTAAAAAAAAGTAGTTTCTTAAATCAAACAAATGCTACAATATTGAGCATTTCTCAAATGCTATATTTAAAACTTTATTAATTAATCGGTCATAATATAAAGTAAATGGGACATTTATTTGGGTTTGGTTTTGCATTAATTAGAATATAGGAGTAATAATATAATAAAGTGATTCTTGAATAGTGTTGAATGGGATCAGGTGACGCCACATTAAATGATAACAAGTCAAGCATCCCAGGATGTCTTCCTATCATGATTTAAGATTGGTCCCACACAATTATTATGAGAAAACACTCAATTTTAAGCAGTTTTATTTTTTTATCATCATATTCACATAAATTACCAATCAATTTTATTAATTATTATTTTCATAAAAAAAGGGATTAACCATTTTTTTAAGATTTTTTTAACAATATTTTTTGACTCGCAACAATGATTCTAAATTCTTTTTCATAAACTTGTGCTCAGTTTCATTTCGATTGACAATACATTAAATATATTTAGATATTTATTAGAATTTAAATTATACTCACTGTTCTTTATATAATACTGTTAAAAAATATTGCTACCTCTTTATAAGAATCTTGTAGTCGAATGCTGTAATTATTATTTTTTCAAAATATCTAATTAATTTATATATTTTTACTAAAACATACATATTAAAGTTTCACTCAATAACTTTAAATTAAATATAATAAAAATAATTTAGAACATCATATTGATGAATTACTCTTTCATTTAATTCAACTATCTGTCGTTATCAGAAGACATATTTGAAAAAAATGTTAAATTTCTACGTAATTTTAAATTTAATTTTTGTTTACCCATGTTAAATAATGTGAATATTAATATTTCTGTCAAGGAATAATGAGAATAAAAGTTATTAATAATAAAAGGTTAATTTAGTATATAGATTTTTTTTTTAGAAATTCAACTAACATTTGTATTGGCATGTTTAATTATGTTAAAAATAGTTCATATTAAAAATAAAAGGAGTAATTTTTGGAAGGTGTGATTAATCAAAGGACAGAATGGATATATGTTTTAGTTAAAAACAAAACAAATGTACCAAAAAGAATCTCCATTCTCCCACGTGGAAATGGGGGCAGGGCCATGAGTGCATGACACAAACTAGTAAGATTCCTATGAAGCTATAGCAGACACACAGTGCTCTATAATATCACACCTTATTACTTTTTTTCGAAAAATATATGTTCATTTTCTATAATAATATCCCGTTTTAAACACCAAGTTAAATTCACAATATTTAACTATTGAATTTGAGGATTGGAATTAAATTTAAAAAATCGTCATAGTCTCCTCAATTTAATAAACTAAAATCATTTTTTTAATTTTTATTTTATTTTGTGCAATCAAATTAGATTTATTTTAATTGTTAGATAAAAGAATAATTAAATGTGGGAATTGTTTTATTGTTGGTTCGAGGACAAAGTACATTGGATTAAAAAAACGTTGAATCACAAGTTGACCAAGAAATTAAATTAATTAGAAATTAAAGAGAAAAGTAAAATAAAGTGCTAAAAATACTTGAAAGGATAAAGAGAAAGCAGATAAACTATGTGCTAAAAAAGTAAAATAAGAGAAACATAAAGAATGTTATAGAATAAAGTGCCAAAGATAATGTTTGAAGAATTTTTATTTTTTATTTTTATAGTGTTTGATGAATGTTAATATGTGAGGGAATGTTTCCTGGGAATCCTTGAGTACGATGTGAGGAAATGTTTCAAGTTATACACTCATGCAAACGTGTTCTAAATGTTATTTATAGAAAAAAAAGGTTAAAAAACTGCTTTGAACCCTAATTGCTAGTACTAATTACAAAGTTGAATTAAAATACATTATTATAAACATCAACGCTATTCATTACGAAAACAAAACATACAAATTTTGTTCAAATAAATATCAATTACAAATTAAAAAGAAATATAAATGGATTTTGACGAAAATCACACTCTTCATGTCATAACCCAAAACCATTAAACAAAAACAGTTATACAATTTTTTCTTGTATTCTCAACAACAAATTTATCTCATTTTGTCAATCATAATATTCCAATTTTGTTAGTATTCTATTCCATTTAAAATTACGATGCTACACCACCATCTCTTCGACCTTGTGCATCTCAACCAATAAATTAAGTTGCACTAACAAATGCCTCCATTAGCAATATAAGACCAGATATGGCTACCCGAACATATTTTTTGTCACTGAAAGCGTTGCCAATAATTCTTTAACATTAACACCGTGTTTTAATATTTCAATACTCTTATTTATATGTTTTTCCTTTCTTCTACATCATAAGGATAATTTTTTCACAAAACATGTTCAAGCTTTTTTTTATATATTGATAGAAAAGAGTGCAAAGTGTATTTAATACACCTTACGTTTATTTTAAAATAACTTGATTACATATACGCGTACTTATATGTTTCTTGTAATTTTATTAGATATAAATGTTTTAAAAACTAGGACATAATCTATGAATGGAATATCCAAAAATTTATCGATAATATCATACACGTGAATAAATAGAAAATATTGGTACCACATAACATTTGGGTATTTCATCCTATAGGTATATATAGTGAGTTTTCCTAAAATATTAATATCGGATACACGTAGATGAAACAAATTAAAGTATAGATGCTCATAGATTGGATGCCAAAACGATGAAACCAGAGTTTCCCCAGAAAACTAAAGATATACATTTGACTGAATTTGTATGCTTATGTAACATTTATGAGCACTCAATGATCAACCATGTGCACTACACTAGTCTAAGAGCATAAACTTTGATATTCATCCAATCTAATACTGGTTCAATAGTTTTCCTTGCGCCCTTGTGAAATAGATTTTGGTCTTGAAAGTGATCTTAAGATACTAACTTGAAGACATTGATTGATACCCAGGATAGTGATTTTTAAAATGGATATTGATCCCATACACATAATTTAAACTCTCCCGACTGCCTTTATTCAATCAATGTCGGGAATCACCTAGCATTCAAATCAAATTCACCAACTTCACGCCAGCCATCCTGGGTTCCAGTGTCTCCATTTTCAGCTTCATCATTCAAGAAATCCTCTGATGGCTCCTTCTCATCTCTCTGTGCATTGTTTCCCCATCCATTAATCATCTCAGCGGGGTTACCTCCCTGATCTTGGTCTCCCATGTCATGGCCAATCACAATGTCATTGCCTTGGGACCCAAGTGCACTCCCTCTCATGGGCGCTCGAGTCATCATTTCAATATGAGATTGTAAATCAGCCCGAGCCTGTTCTGCTTGAAACATTGATGCCATCCGTAGTTTTGCCTCGTGGGCTTCGCGACCAGCCTTCTCCCTAGACTCTAGCTCTGCCCTTAATTCATAATTAGCTCTTTTTTCTTCTTGAAGAAGTGCCTGCTCAATCATCAATCTCTCCTCGGACCGGAATTCCCCCAAACCTCTCTTTTGGGTTATTATGTTGAAAGCAAGTGCTTGTTTCTCAAATGTTGCAGTGAACTCAGCAATTTTAGCAGTAATATTATTATCCCACTGCTGGGACCGTGAAAGCATCTGACCAGTAGTGTCAGAATCAAGTATCCTATCATCCTCTTCTTCTTCATAGTCTGCCACAACGTGATAAGGCAATAACCTGCGAAAGGAAAATTTAGGCAAATTCTCAACATAAGAAATCCATAAGAGCATTTTTCAATTGCATCAAACTTAAAATTCAGGAAGTATTCATTTGGGGTTTTTTCTCTCTTTCTTGGGGGCTAACAGTAGTTTTTTTTTTCTTTCTTTGAAACGATAAACACTGTGTTTAGATTGACATTAGTTTATTTCAATGAAAGGCAATCAGGACCGAAAAGCATTTGCTATGATAAGATACATATGCAGCAAGTACAGGAAGCTACTCAGCCCTATTGTTGTTTTAATTTTCATATTCAACCATTTAAAAAATAAATTGTGGGAAGCAAAATATGAAAGCATTAATGTGTATTTTCATTTCATTTTGGTAAGATCATCATGAATGTCATATCCAGGCCACTCATGAAATCATGTAGTTAGATTTCTAAAAGGAAAAACTTTACACATTAGCACTAC